CATTGCTGCCCTTCCTAGCCTATGCTTGTGTGTGTTTAGTCGTTTAGTCGTGTCCGACTCTTCGTGACCCCATGGACCAGAGCACGCCAGGCCCTCCTGTCTTCTACTGCCTCCCGGAGTTGTGTCAGGTTCATGTTGGTTGACACACACACACACACACACACACACACACACACACATCTCCCTCTTTTTCTATATAGCAATAACACGAATGTACATACAGTAATTGGTATATAACAATGGAAGGTCCAAAACAGCCCCCATGAGTTTAAGGCAGTTCCCAGAACCCTTCTCCATCAACTGTGTTGGCCAGGATTTCTGGAACTGCAGACCAAACACACCTGGATTATCTAAGGTTTGGAACCACTGGTTTAAGGAAAGAGCAGAGATGCATTTATTTTTGCTTTTTAAAACAATGGGGAAACCAAGGTCCTCCAGGCAGTGTACAAACTGAACACATAAAATGCAGGGTAGACCAAAGAAAACAAAGCAGGTAGATCAATAAAACATTAGGATAGGACAGAGTGTGAGGGAGAGGTCCGTAAGGTTAAGCGCATTGGATGCATATTCATAGGAGTGGTACATGAAAATAGGAAGGGACAGATGACCACAGTCTGATATTTGTACTAGAAAGATACAAAAATGGATGTGTGGGTTTATGTGCAGAAGGACAAAGAAGGGAGGGTGTTTGTGTGTTACTGAATTACTGAGGTAATTTAATCCTTTCAATGAGGTAATTCTTTCAGTCTCATAGTACTCACCTTCTTGGAAAACCCAATGTGGTCTTCTGCCTCATGGGATGCCTTGATTCCTTTGAGGCGACGCTTTCTGGGCTTACGCCTGGCTACGTACATCAGGTAAATGAGGCGCAACCACTGGTCAAAGAGGACAGTCTCATCTCTGCCAGGGCCATAAAGCTGGAGGTAGTACTTTTGCCCCGTCCTTATCTGTACTTTCAGCCGCTGCTCATCCAGGTTGTGAAGAAATATCTCCACCAGCTCTAAAGGAACCATCCTGTGGGAAGGGAAGGACTCAGGCTGAGAAACTTGCAGATGAAAATAGGGGACTTCTGGGAAAGAGTGTGACAGGCGACAGAGAAGGGGGACTGCATCAGTCTCACCAAGTGATTTCAAGATCCTTAGCCTTGTTTTTCCCAAAGTGATTTCAAGATCCTTAGCCTTCGGGCATTTTGCTCCTGTCCCTTGTTTTTCCCGGGCAACTATCATCAGGTTAGGAAGTGGCAGAGTAGGACTGGTGGCTAAAAGGCCCATGGTGGCTATGTGTGAGTTCTGAAACCTTTAATGGCATTTACAAATTACAACAACACAAGCAAAATAGGAGAAGTAAAATTACAAAAATTTCACAAATTAGGAGCGAGAAACAGGGGACAATTTCAGAATTCCAGATAAGAAGCCTGCAACAGCAGCGGTCAGGGCATTACATTCATCATGAAAGTAGAAAGAACTGACTCAGAAAAATTGGAAAAATAGGAGATCCAAGGTTCTAGAAGGTGACTATGTCAGAATGGTTGTGAATGCTGCTGCATTCACCTTTCTCAGTCACCTGTATGTAAAGGGAGAGCAAAAAGCAGGATGTGTGCCATGAAAGGGACAAAACTGACATTAATAGAAAGGAGCCTGGGGATAGTCCAAAGAAGGAACATTTCTCTGCTCAAAGTCCCTCAGCCTCCATTTAGGATACCTGGGTGTCCTGGCTGCTGTTATGTGCCGTCAAGTCGCCTCCAACCTATGACGACCCTAAAAGTGAACGGTCTCAAAAATGGCCTTTCCTCAACAGTCCTGCTCTGCTCCTGCAGACTCAAGCCTGTGGACTAGCTGTTGAATCACAATTGTTGCTTTTATGTGCCATCAAGGCATTTCTGACTTATGGCAATGCTAACAGGGTTCTCAAGGTGTGTAAGAGACTCAGTTCTACCAGTGCCGTCCCCTTTTTTCCATGGCTGGGTGGGGATTTGAACCTAGGTTTCCTGAGTTCTAGTCCATCACTCTGTCCACTATATTACACTGTCTCTCTGCAACTGTTTTTTTTTTAATTCCCATCAAGATGACTCTAAAAATGCCTTTAAATGGTGTAAGGAACATCCTATGAAATTAGCTAGAAAACATCACTCATTGCACCAAGAAAGAAACTTGTTAGGATTAGATTATTTTTGTTTAGACTACTTTTACTATAACTTTGTAACAATTTATTACAATACTTGTTCTCCCAAAAGTAAGGTACTCATACTAACTACCTGCTTCTAACACTGGATTTGACATATGAATACAGGAAGCTGTCTTCTACTGGCTGGTATGCCGTTGGTTCATTAAGCCACTACTATTTCCTAGGGCTGGTAGCCACTTGCTAGTTCAGCCCCTTCCAGCCAGCTGATCCTTTTGACTGGAGATGCTGGGTCCTGAACCCGAGACCTGCTGAAGGGGGTACACTCTGCTACATTGCATACAGTACATTCTCAGTGCAATAGTCTGGGTCTCTCGCTTCCCTACACTAAGATTCACTGGCTATCACAAGCAAAAGCAATGGCCTGTACTGGGCTATCTTCAGCAGCCTCAAGGAGCAGGCACCCGGGACACGTCCAACATGACTTGCCCATCTCCACGATTTAATCTGGCCAGAACGTTGCACGAGTTGTTTGGGGGGTATGGGTTCAGACAGGGAACACTACAGCCACCTCTTCCCTGCTATAGAGCCACTTGCTGCCAGATGCAGGTCACCTGCTCAAACTCGTCTTCGAAGATTAGTGCTATGCTTAACATATTGTCTTCAGCCCTTTGAAGCGCCCTCCACAGTTTGCCAGGCAATGGAGCATCGCGACCAGAGGCCTGTTCTTTGACAGGGTCATTCTGTGGGTCCTTCCTCTGTGCATTCTCTATGAGACAGAGAACATAGAAATAAACCAAGAAGATGCATAAGGAAAGTGCTCAGGGAACTCAGACAGCCAAGCTCACAGCCTTTGTATTGAATCTTCAAGCCTAACATGTTTCTTGGAGGACCGAAACATCCTCCCTCTTCAAGCTTGTTGTCGCCTTGTGTTCGAGTATTGATCACATTTCCTGTCTCTTCTTGGGTGTGGAGAACTCAAGCAAGTAAGCCAAGCTGTGTGCTCCAATTAAAGGTTTTGCTGTATCCCCTTGCTCCTCTCAGACATAGAAGCCAGTGGAATATGACAGCAAAAATTTTCCAGGCCTCAGAAAGAGAGGTTACTTACCTGTAACTTTGGTTCTTCGAGTGGTCCTCTGTGAATTCACACTGAACCAGCCATTTCTAAGTGCAAGCAAAATCTATCAACCAAATCTTCGTCTCTTTTAAATTGGGGACCATTACTGTACTGTACTGGCGTGCTCTGATCCATGGGGTAACAAAGAGTCGGACACGACTAAACAACAACTGTACTGTGAAACCCAAACTCCTCCTAAGTTCACTGGCTCTTAATGCGTTAGCTTCCTCTCCCCACTCCTCAACTCCAGAGTCTGAACATTTTAGGCCCTACCTGGAGATGTGATCATCACTAGGACAGAGTGGAGCTCAAGGACAAAGTTTAAGGTCTTGTTGATTATCCTGGTACAAGAGCAGATGCGCTTCTACGGCCACCAAACACCAGTTTATAATCCTGGACAGGGCTGGGGCCCCCCAGTCCTTTGAAGTTCCCAGATGCTTTCCCCTGGGAGGCCTCTATGCAAGTGGCCCCCCACCTCTCCATCTGAAAGGATGAGCACTGGCCTGCAAATTTGTAGATTATGACATCAGCAGAAAAAAAGGGGGGCTGGGCTATTGGAGCGTTGTTAGGCAGCAGTAGCAGCAGAAATGAAGTCACAGGATGGATGTATATCCATTACTGAGAGGAGCCTGCCTCAGGTCAAGGGTGCAAATTTAAGATTTGGCCAATAAGGACATTATAAGGAAAAGGTTGCCAAGATTCTAGTGTTGATAGCCCATTCATGACTACCCATTGATTCTTGCTTTGGGTATGAGAAGTTCCAACTAAATCTTACACGAGCCCACCATTTTGAACCACTGTACCACCCTGAAGGTTTGGTTTGGAAGCTAAGCAGGGTCTCACCTGGTTAGTACTTGGAATAAGAGCTACCAAGCAGTGCTAGAATACCCAGATAGAACTCGGAGACAGTCCTGTTTGAAGCCACTTGGCAAGACTGGGTTAGATGGGCTAGTGAGCTGATTCAAGGCAGCTTCCCACATTCCTATCTGGAAATTCAATCTATCCCTTTAACAGGTAGGGATGACTGTGGCTGTTCAGTGGGGAAACATAAGAAACTCCCTATATGCCCAGATACACACTTGATTTAGGCGTTCCAAGTAAATTCCAGGAGATAGCCCTAGCATTCAAGAATCCAAGGTGAAACTGTGGCAAATACAGACTGAACTCCACCTCTATGCTGATGCTGATGCTGATGCTGATGCTGATGC